GCCCCAGGCCGGGCCGGGCTGCTGGGGGAGGGGGCCGGCAGGCCCCGGAGGAAGTTGTAGGACAGCAGAGCACGTGTTTGCAGCGCGCTCATGGCCGCCGCCGCGCTGGGTGCGGACGGGGCAGCGCTTTGTTCGCGCCCCCCGGGCCGGGCCGCGCTGGAGGCGGAGGCCGCGGCGGTGTCAGTGACGGCGGCTGCATGTGGCAGGGCGGCTGTGCCTCCTGCTCCCTCCCCCACCCCCGCCATTGGCTTCTTGCTCCATCTCGAACTTGTTGGGCGCTGCTCAGGGAGTGTTAGGGCGCGGAGAGGCGGTGAGTCAGTGTCTGGCTGCGTTGTGCAAAGCCCTGCAGGGAAGGCTCCCCCACCCCCGCCGGGCAGCCGCGCTGCTCGGGGCTTCCTTTGTGCTCGGGGCTTCTTCAGAGATTGCTCGCTGCTTGCCTTGCCTTGCCTTGCCTTTCTTTTTTTTTCTTTCCTTTTCTTCTTGTGGCTCTCCTGGGCTCCGCAGCGGCGTTGGCAGGGTAGGGGCCCAAGCAGCAGCTCCATGCAGGCAGGCGGAGAGCAGGCAGTTGCATGTGCTGTCACTTGCTGACCTCCCGCGACAAGATTTCTAGCTTAATTGTGATGCTTATTGCGTTCGAACAGATATCTGGCAACATGGCTACTGAACATGTTAATGGGAATGGTACTGAAGAGCCCATGGACACTTCTGCTGCAGTTACCCATTCTGAGCATTTCCAGACATTGCTTGATGCTGGTTTACCACAGAAAGTTGCTGAAAAACTAGACGAAATTTACGTTGCAGGTAAGATGCAAAAACTTGCAAAATCATACTTTGGATCTTTTCATTGGATTCTGCTGGCTTTGGGCTAAAATAGCAACTTTTTGTGGTTTCCAAAAGTATGGGGACTGCAGTCATGTCTCTTAGTGTTGATTTGCTGATTTTTATCTCTCACTTTTTCTTTTTTCTTTTTCTTTTTTTTGTAAACTTACCTAGTGTTACCAGAGTGTCTGGGGCCAGGTTATGAAAGTCACTTGGAGTGGGTGGTGGGGACGAGGTAGGACAGGAGAGGGTGCACAAGACCGTAGCAACAGCTGGCAGAGGCACAGCTGTCTGTTCATGACAGCAGGTGATGTGCTTAGTGTATTTTATAGTAGCTTTAAGCAACTTAAAGTAATTGAGGAACTGGTAGTATTCTCCTTTAGTTGTTGAGGCTGTTCTGTGTTTTGGTATTTTGACTCAGGAGTGTACAGGTGGTACTGTGTTTCTCTGGCATTGTATAGTTCTGGTTTTTTCTTTCTTTTGAAGCTCAATTCTTGGAGTCTGGTAGTAATTTTGAGTGTTTCAGTTTGTTCAGTCTTTATGCTCTTTTCCCTGAAAAGTCAAATTTTGATACCTTGTTACCTTTAGTTCTACATGATGAAAATAAATATAGCCATTCCACTAGATGCCATGTAATATTGCAAAAAAAAGTCATAAAAAATCATTTGACAGAATATCTATTTTAAGGGTTTTATTCTTGATGGAGAAAAGTTGAGCATTTTTCATCGCGTTTTGAATATTTGTGAAGGTGGAACAGATATGGCTTCTTGAACAAGTAAAATGGATTATGTTACTAAATGATCCGACATCACTAAAATGTAATGAATATGGTTAAACAAAAATTGCTTCTCAAATATAATTAGCAAAAATTTTGCTTTTCCCTAGGGCTAGTTGCACACAGTGATCTAGATGAAAGAGCTATTGAAGCTTTAAAGGAATTTAATGAAGAAGGTGCATTGGCAGTGCTTCAACAGTTTAAAGACAGTGATCTCTCACATGTTCAGGTAATGTTAAGCAATTTAGTATGTAAATGTAGGGGAAACAAACTGCTGCTAGATGGTCAAAGCTTGAGCAGTTACAGTCAGAGCTCTTTTTTGATGCATAGAACTTGTACAGTTAGGATAAACTGATTACTTCAAAACAAAGTTGGCTCTGCTTTTTCAGAACAAAAGTGCCTTTTTATGTGGAGTCATGAAGACATACAGGCAGAGAGAGAAACAGGGGACCAAGGTGGCAGATTCTAGCAAAGGACCAGATGAGGCCAAAATTAAGGTATGTGCCTGAAGGTGTAAGATAATATGGTAAATATAAATTTCATTTTTTTTTTCCAAATAAGCCAGAGCTTACTCTTTGTAACTGTGTCTTGCCGGGTATTTCTAGTTCAGATCACTCAAGCCTATTAAGATCTTATTTGCGCTGTTCCAGAAATTTTGTAACTCCTTTTTCAAAAAACAGTAACAGTTTCTTCAAATGAAATGTGTGTGCTTATTTATTGCAATTACTTAAAATAGTACTAACTCTCAGGTTAAGTAGCTTGCCAAAAAGGTGTCTTATACACTGAGGTATCTTTGTCTCAGGCTAAAAAAAAAAAATCCTGTGCCTTAGTCTTATACAGTTAGGAGTGAAAGTTTTAGTGCAAGATCTTGACTGGTACCACAGAAAAACAGGATATCTCTGGCATATCAATATCCAATTATGTGTTCCTTTAATTATGAATAATAGCTGCTTTGTTGGGTTTTTTTTAGACGCGCCCATTGGATTTGGGATTTTGGTCCTTTTTAGGTCAATCTATTCTCTTTTTATAAGCAGTATACAAAGATTAGTTTAAACTTATCGCAGAGTATAGTAAATATCCAAGAAATAATTGCCTAAGGAGTATAAACCGTACTAGGAAAATAACTGATTTTAAAAGATTTTGGAAACTAAATGGACACAGCTAAATATGTCCTTTTTTGGGAAGGATATACATCAAATGAGTAAAGATGCTTTGACTGGATCAGTTGGAAGAGGAGGAAGATTTTTTGCTGCTTGCTTAAGTATAAAATGTAACTGTTTATGTTTAATGAGTACATCTCAAGTTCTCCCTTAATTTGCTTTTATCTCTTTCCCAGTTTTGACTTGCAGTTTCAGTAAGCCTGTATGGTTTTAATTAATTTTTTTCTGTTGCTCTTTCTTAAAATTGATCTGAACACAACATTTCGGGTAGTTGATGTCACTAGCCTGAAAAACTATATATAATATAGTAAATATTTGGAGCTAGTGGGTGATTGATATAATAGGTCAGTTGTGTTGTGCTGAAGTGAGGTTCTCTGCCTGGGGAACTTTTGACCCTGAAGAGTGTGTGGAAGACAGGAAAGAGTTATTATCCCTGCTTTATACTAGAGCAACTGAGACACTGAATGTCACTGTCTTATGGTATCTAAGTGCATCTGTGCTTCAACTCCATGCCTATAGGCAGTCCTGCTAATTCAGTAGGACTAATGTACCGAAGTGTTTGCAGGACTACGCATGTCAAAACAGTGACTTCAGGTGTTGAGATGTCTTAATAGACACTTGTTATTCTGTCACTTGGTTTAATTTTTATATTTAAAAATGTTCAGCATACCTTCACATGAAGAAATGTGAACCTTTTTGTTTTGTCCGGCTGCTGCATAGCACACCGTTCAATCTCTCAACTAAGTAGTGTTTTAATAATATGAAAATATTGTGCATTACACTTTAAACATACTCTTGTTTCTGTATATGCAGTGGGTTTGTATGCCTGTGGAAGTTCTAGAACACTAATTAATGTACAGATAAAACATGCCTTAACTTAAATGGTCAAATTTGTCTTAAGTTAAATTGTCTAAGACATAAGACTTTTTTACACTTTTTTTTTTCTTTTTCCTAAGGCACTCTTGGAAAGAACAGGTTACACTCTTGATGTGACTACTGGACAGCGGAAGTATGGTGGCCCTCCTCCAGATTCTGTGTATTCAGGGCAACAGCCTTCTGTTGGTACAGAGGTAAGCAGAGAAATAGCTTTATGTAAAGAAAAGTGGCTTGTTTCTTGCATGCATCTTTAAATGACATTATATGTGGTATTTGTAGATATTTGTGGGCAAGATTCCAAGAGACTTATTTGAGGATGAACTTGTTCCATTATTTGAGAAAGCTGGGCCTATCTGGGATCTGCGCTTAATGATGGATCCACTGACTGGTCTAAATAGAGGATATGCTTTTGTCACTTTCTGTACTAAAGAGGCAGCTCAAGAGGCTGTTAAACTGGTAAGTGGTTTTGTGTGTGTGTGTGTGTGTGTGTGTGTTTGTTTTGTTTAACATCTTGTGATGCTTCTCTGCCTATTAGGGAACTGCTCTATTTCTTGTCAATTATTTTAAGAAGATAGTATGTTACAAATGAGTTGTTCCATCAGTGTTTGTTGTGATTATTTTAAATATTCTTGTGCCTTTCTTGGGATCTTTTGTACTGACTGCTGTCAAAGATGGGGTACAGAATCAGGTGGATTTACAGCCTGACCTAATTGGGCAACTTCTACATTCAAATCAGAAGTTCGTGTTAACAATAAGGTCTTTAGGTTTTCCTTTCTTAATTCACTGTTTGTATTGGGGTGGGTTATTTTGAAATTGATCTCTGAAAAGAGTGTTTTTTCTGCATGGTTATAACTTCTGGTGCATGTATGCAGCAGTGCGTTCCATGTAGACAAAGCACTGAGGACGTGCATTTTATTTAAGGTAAGTAACTTGATCATGAAGTACCTTCAGGTGTTTTTACTAGCAAACTTGTCTGTCTGTGTTTCTCTCTCTTCAATTGTGCTATAAAAATGGAGCATAATTTATCTTTCAGGGGTCAGGCATAAACTCTGAACTGTGTTTTTCTGTCAGTCTCCCTCTTTCTTTGTTTATTTATGTATTTTTTTTAACTCCAAGCCTCACCCAGCATTTTGGCAGTGCATTCTCCCCCTCCCCTGCTTCATTTGGGGTTGAGTATCAATTCCCCTTTTGGTTAGAGTACTTCTAGGTCATTATTTATACGTTACCTTCACTTAAAAATATGGAGTAGTGAAGTAATGTGTTTAATCTAGTCATACCTGGATCTGAGTTTTGTATAACTTGCTGCTAATAAACCCTTGGCCTGCCCTGTTGATGTATTCTTTAAGGGGCATTGATTAAGGAATATTTAAAAGTTTCAGGACCTACTGTTTAGGATGGTCTGTCAACTTTCTTTAAGGAAGTTTAATGTCAAGCTGGATTTTGAGAGGTGGCTGTTAGCCCTGTAAAATGATGCAAGATATTCTTGGGTTATATTAACTTTTGTGTGTATACTTCTGCTTGTTGATTTTTTTTCAGTTTCAGCTTTGCTGTTTGTTATTTTAAATGTCCTCTTGTATCTCTAGTTGGATGCAACAGAACAGTGCAGCTGACTCCTCCCCCCTTCTTCCCCTCCCCCCCCATGGAACTGGCTAGAGAAACTGGCTAAACTTTTTTTTTTTTAAATCATTGTTAGATGCACCAAGTAAGCTGATTAACTTTTTTTCTGGTTTTCTCTTAAAGTGTGGATAATACTTCAAGTTGATAACTATATTGTGATAGGAAAAAAGGTTGGGGACTGAGCTTAGATCTGGACTGTCTTCTGCTTTATGTATTTGAGGTGGCGTTAGTACTATAAAAGTATGCAACTGTGCATTTACTCACTTTTATATCCAATTTGTCTTTGTCATTTAAATTGAAGCAAAGGAGAGGAGTTTGGGGAAGTACAAGGAGAGATTCCAATTGGGATGGGAAGCCATTTTTTCTAGCTTTAGTATGTAGCAGGATGCTGTTCTGGCTTTGAGTTAACTTTGTTAAGGTTGTTTTAAAACATTCAGGTAAGGGCAAGGGGACATCAAAACCAATTTCACACGAGTACCTTGGCAAGAGTTGACTTTTTGTGTATTCTAATCTGAAATTGGCTGATTAAATTGGGATCTGAAGAACTTTCCTAGTAGTTCAAAATCAATGAAGTAGGAGAATGGGGATCTAAGTAAGGCATAGGCATAGTGCCTTTGTGAAAAGATTCTCTTTATCATTCTTGTTATCTGTGAATGGGGAGACTCCTAAGATGACTGCTAATGCAGCTTTTTTTTGGGTAGTGCTGCAAGGGGTCATTTTTCATCAACCAGTGGCTTGTAGGCACTTAAAACTTACTACCTTTTCCCCATAGTTGTAAGTTTTATTACCTTTGAGGTTATTGGGCTGCTGAGATGCCTGTGTTTCCTATGTGGCTTTTTTCCTTCTTTTCTTAAAGCCTCATAAGTTTGACTGTTGCCTGTAGACTTGACTGTTAGTCAGGAAACTGGCCAGAGCTTTGTCAATATTCTGTATTGCTGCTTGGGTAAACGGAACAGAGTTTTTCAGATCTTGGAAAATGGCATTGTATCAGTTCATGCTTGGATTGTTACTTAGGTGTTCATAAAACTAAAAAAATCTTAAAAAATCAATAGGAGCTAAAAACTCAGGCTTTATCCTATCCAGTAGTCGATCCAAGCTTGCTGTTTGAATTCAGGTTTGGAAAGACTGAAGTGCCAGTGTGTTTAAAAAAGCTGCTAAAGTTGTGGATAAGTGGAGTCTAAATATAGTCCCCAAACCTGATCTGAAGCATGGAGGTGATTATTATAGAGCTTTTTTTTCTACACCACTCAATGTGGACTGTTAGCATTGCAAAGCTTTCTATACTGTTATATCTTATCCTTATACGTTAGCTTATCTTTTTGATGTATACAGTGTTTAACTTAAGCTTAGAGGTCTCAGTAACAAACTTTGTAAAATTGGTGGAAACTTGTGGTTAAACACCCATGTTCATATTTTTTCTGTAAGGCTGGTGAAATTAGCAATACTATCTGGCTCTCAAAAGCTTTTACTTTAGCAAAGAAGCTAAATTTTATTAAAAGAAACAACACAGATTTTTTTAAATTCAGCTATATTTGTACATCTTGCAACAAAACCTGAAGCCTTCTCACACTGCTGTTCTTCAGCATGTTAAAAGATTTAAAAAACGTATTTTGTTTTCTCCTTACCTAGTCTTTAACTTCAGATCTGTGCTATAGCAAAAGTGGCACAGGTCTTGCAACATCTTTCCCTCTTAGCATGTTTGTATTTGTCTGTAAACTGGCTCAACACTTGCATATGAATTCCAGTTGAAAGTAATTTTGGGGTCATCCTGCTCTCTAGTGGACACTTGCGTATTCAACATATGCTACTGGATGTAGAACAGTTAATGGATTTAATTTGAGACATTCATAACTAGAGTAATCAGAATTGTTATAAATAGGGGAAAATGATAAAGCTGGATAAAGAGGAAAGAGTGTGGGGAAAATACAGCATACGTGACTGTAATGTGTTACCTTT